ATGCAGTGAGCATAAATAATTATCTTATCCATATATTCTCAACATCCATCGATTCGATTCACTAAAACTTTGCATGTACATAAAGGCACTTATAAATTTGAAGATACGAATAAAGAATAAAAACAGCTTATTAGAATCATTATGACCATCTTTACATCACATACATAGAAGAAGAAACCCTATGACAACATATTTGGTTACAAGCAAGCCCGAATAACTGATTTTATAAATACACATCTGCATATCATAAAGAGCTATCAGTCAACCATTCATCGTTTTACATCAGCGGGTAAGTTTTCCTAATAAGTAAACAGCCAGCAATGTGGAATAAATGATAATTTCAAACGTAGACTGTCTGAAGCTAATCGTGTACGTAACACATCCAAATGATCGAAATTTGTTTCAATGTTGATCTGTACAGTGTTAATAAAACTGATTTCATCAATTACAATAGGCCCACAAACCTCATAAAGTTGATCAACTCGAGTCGAAGTGAATCAACCAGCTAATGAGTTAGTAAAATAGAAACTGCCCATGGATATGTAATATCTCGTAATTTTCGTTTATCCCGATCGTAACTTAATTCATGTATCATCTGTTACTGCTTGAAAATGAAAAAAAGTTCTAATTCATCATCATTCTCAATGCAATCATCACTGGAAAGCAACCAATCAACCAAATAACTCAATTAAAAACGAACAATGAAACCAACTGAAATTAAAACAAAAATGACGCACAGATGGGTGATGTGTTGAGATGAACCAGAGCCAATCCATTCATTCAATAAACTGTAATCCTTATGCGTTATTTTTATGAGCGATGGTGCGTGCTACTGCTACTGCTGCTGATGTTGCTAGTAGTGCAGCAAAAACTTTGCTTAACCGACGTCTATCCTTTCGACGAATGAACGGATAATCTAAAGCGCACTTTCAAATTTAGCTAAGTGATTGACTTCATCTGATGTGATCGTACGTGTATAATACTAGTATACTTGCACGTATTACTGAGTATACATATTTGAATCTGGAAAAGGTCACGGCTGGATCAATGTCATCTTGTCAATTGATATTTGTGAATAGATCAGATTTAGCCTCAAAATTAGAACTTACCACATATTCGCCTAAGGTTTATATTTCATCTTATAATTAAACAGATGGTATATCACCACGTGATCAAAAGACATGTATGTGACTAATAAATTTGAATGAATTGGAAATTATGCGGGGAAATAAATCTAGATATGTAGATAGGTTTATACGGGAGCGATCCTGAAGGGGCATGAATAATATG